CTGTGTGGGTTGACCATCACTGGGTTCCCTGGCTCAGCTGGTCTATTGGCACTGCCTCCTGATGAGCCCAGCATGCTTGGTGCTGGGTGGAACTACTTAGAGAAGCAGGAGGGAACAGAATGGCAGCTAATGACCAGCAGAAGGGGGGCTGGAGAGACAGGGCAACTGTTCTTCACCCTACATCATTCTGGCCAGCCTTGGTCCATTTAGAAGCAGTTTTAAGCTTGTGGTAGCCATTTACAGAAAGAGTGGAGTCCAGGGCATTAGCTTTCAACTGCCCCTCAGAACTCAGCTGTTGTCCCAGAATCATATATGGCAAGAGACTCGGTCCATTTGGCCCTGGATGGACAGGGTCTATAACATGTGTCTATCACACGAGGCCTCTAGAGAATATTTATTAGTTGGCTCACTGTGGCCCAAACACTCCAAAGGAACTTCCAGGTCTTTCATTCCCCACCCCTACCCAGTGATCTTGCAGTCTGTGTGCTGTGGTCCTTATTGGGCCCCATGTCTATATCTGTGGCATTTTCCTTTGCTAAGTCTGTATTTCACAAGGTTGGGTAAAATGCATTTCTTTTCTGATAAAATACATATTTCCATCGTAAATAAGCTGGTGCCTTTCTGAATTAATCCCCACAATGCACAATAATTAGGGAGCCCCGAATCTGCTGATTCTCTTTCAAGAAAACATACTACTCTGTCTTCTGTCACACAGTGTTGTGTCCCTGATAGTCCATTCCCCCTGGAAACCAGACCCCCACTTCCTAAGGGGCGTGCTCTGACATTTCTAGAACTGGCTACAGCTGGTCAGAGAATCTGAGCATGCCCAGATAGAAAACTCCCTCCCCAGAGTCCAGGCACAAGGCCACAGGAACAAGTGTGTTGGCCTTTCAGCCAAAGGGTTGACGCTGGAGACCAGACATAGCAGTGGCCTCAGGAGACAAGAGGCTGAACTGAGGCTGCTATTCCTATGGGCCAGAGCTGGAAATATATTCCAGTTCCTCCCCATCCCTCTTCTTCTTTCCTCTCCTCTCCCATCCCCTCCCCTTTTTCCTCCCCTCTTCTCCCCTCTCCCCTTCCCTCCCCTCTCCCCTCTGTCCCTCTCCTCTCTCCTACTTTCTCTATTTTCTCTCTCCCTTCCTTTCTCTTCCCCTCTTCCTATTGTTCTGACTTGCCTTCCCTCCTTCTTTACTTCTCCCTTTCTTCCTATTTTTCTCCACTTCCCCTTTCCCCATCTCCCCTCCTTCCCTCCTCTCTCTCCTCTTCTCTCTCTTCCTACTTCATTCTTGCCTCACTCACTCTTGTTCTTGCCTGACCCCTTTGTACTCAGGGGTCATCACTGCCTCTCCTCAGAGAGTATGGCCTGCCTTGCCTTGCTCTGTTCCACACCTAGAAGAACCTTGTATAGAAAACAGAGGGGTTTCTTTTCTGAGACACCTCCTTCATTTTGTTTGGAGAAGTCTGTCCAATATGGTGCTGTGTGTTAAGTATTAAGATTTGCTGTTCCAACATGGTGCTGTGTGTTAAGTACTAAAATTTGCTGTCCCAAGACAGGGAGACTTGAGTGATGTGACTTGACTGTTTTTGCATAATTTGCTAGACTAAAATTACTACTCTTATATATTTAAATAAAAATAAGAAGACCCTATTTATTTATTTTTGGTATAGGTTTCAAAACTTGACCTTGTGTTTTCTAGTAATCAGTGAGACATCTGAGATAGAAAGACTATTTTTAAAATACCCAACAGTCCCTAAGAGGAAAAGAACTCCATAGGAAGACCAACAGAATCAACTAACCTAGACCTTTGAGGTTCTCAGAGACTGAACCACCAGCCAAAGAACATGCATGAGCTGGACCTAGGCCTCCCTGCACATATGTAGCAGATGTGCAGCTTGGTTTTCATGTGGGTCCCAAACAACCGGAGGGGAGGGGGCTATCACAAAGCTGTTGCCTGTCCATGGGATATACTCTTCTAGCTGGGCTGCCTTGTTTGGCCTCAGTGGGAGTGAAAGCACCTAGCCTCACAGAGACTTGATATGCCAGGGTGAGGAGATACCCAACCCACTCAGAGGGGAAGGAGGTGGGGATGACCAGGAGTGGGACAGTGAGTAGGATGTAAAGTGAATAAGCACAAATAATAATAATAATAATAAACCAAAACCCAACAGCATTTTAGATCTATGGTCACTCATTAACAGGTTAGCCTTAACACGGACTAGGAAACCCTATAAAAAACATTTTACTCAGTGTCTTTCTAGAGCCATGTCCAGGTAGTGTGGTCCCTGGACAACATCTTCAGCATCTTTGAGAGCTTATTAGAAGTATCAGTTCTTGCGTTCTCCCTGGACCCACTGAACCCCAGTAGCCCCGTTAACAAACCTTCCTGGTCATTCTGAAGTACCATAGGGTCTGAAAGCCACTGCAGGGAAAAAGAAGCCCACCACCCTGCCTATGTCTGCAATGTCAGATGAAAAGCTATCCAAGACTTGACTGGAAACGCATGGGGGGGATCGAGACCCCTCAAACACGTGACCTAAGGGTGATATGTAAATAGGATCAAGATCTTCATGTTATAATTAGCATCTGGAATGGCCCCTCTAACCCCGTGTTCTGTCTGTGGTGTGAGAGGTGTAGAGCCTTTAAGGTGGTGAGGCCCAGGTGGGGTTTTCAGATCACTGGGGGCTTAACTAGGCAGGTGTGAGGCCACATGTCTTCTCTTTCTCATTCCCCAGATCCGAGGGGAATCCTTTGCCCTACTATACACTTCCATCACGATGTGCTACACTATTCAGGCCTAAAAATTCTCCTGCTCACCCTTTGCTCTTTGTGAGCTGCTCATCTCTGGTATTTGCCATGCTAATGGAAACACACTGTTCTCTCCCGGCAACCCCCAGCATAGGGAAACAGAAAGGATTAACTAGGTAGGGCTTACTAAGACAACCACTGCCCAGCCCCCTCCCCCGCCCTCCCCATGAGCCATGAGCCTGGTCACCTGTTGCCTTCCTTCTTAGTTTACGTAGTTTTAACTAAAAGCACACACAGAAGGCCAGTCCATTTTTGCAAAATATTCAGCTATCCTTTGGCATATCATTTTATTCTGCCAATGAGCAGAAGTTCTGAAGACCGGAAGTACACTTGAAATATGCAGGGTTGGGTGGCCGAGCAAGTGCTTATTGTGGGTTTGGTCCCCAAGGTATAGAAATAGTTGAGGGATTCAGAAGCGCCCTCCCCGCTGAATTACTTATTTTCACTTCTGAAAGTATGGTAGCACTTATTTTAGAATGTCTTATCAATATTTTAGAAACATTTAAAACTAAGAAGTACACTTTCTTAATTTATAGAACATAAAAAACTAAAAACAAATTACACAAAAAAAGAAAAATGACTATTAACATGTCTGAGCGTGTGTCTTGGATGGAGGGGCAGTTAAGAGAGAGGCAACTGTGACCCAGAAGCAAACGGTGACTTTAGTTGAGACCTCTACAAGCTTAAAGTGTCATCATCTTCCAGGATGAAATTGTAGATGGACATAATAAAATATGAGAAAATTGGAGGTGTTTTCTAAAAGCAGAAAGCATAATTCCCGACAGAGCTGTTCTAAATGTCTGTACTGATTAGCACCGACACTGTTTTGTATTCTTAGCGCTTTCTGAGCCCAGGTCCTCATGCACCTGTCTCCTGCTCCACCAGGGGGCGCGCTGGTTCTCCGGATGCGGTTGGCCAGATCGGCCTGGAGTTTGAGGTCCCGTCATTCTCTGTATAAACAAGTTACGTTCAAGTGTTTAGGATATAAATTACGACCATGCCGGCTGCCTTGGAAGGAATGTAAACACAGCACTGTGGTCGGAGCAAACTCTGAGACTGACTTCATAATTTATAGCAGGCCCCCCTGAGTAACTCAGAATAAAAGACAAAAAGGATGGGGGACGGGTTGGAGGGGGATGGTGGGGAGAAAAGCCGATGTAAATGCAAATATGATAATGAAGAAACAAAGTGTTTAATTCCACTACTTTTTTTTTAAATATAGAAAAGAGGCCTAAGGGTTAGGAATATAGCTAAGAGTTTTGAAACTAGATGTTTAATTCAGGAGAACACCTCAGAGTGAAGATTCATTAAAACAGGGGAAAAATACTCCTATCCTGAGTTAGCAGTAAGTGCCTGGCGGTGGGATTGGAAGGTAAGAGAATTTAACAAAACCCAAAACAAAAATCCATCCCTGAGTTGAAGAGAAAATTACTGCAACATGATAAAAAGGGAACATTGCTCTGTTCTCGGAGCAATGGGTGTTCTGGGTGGGAAATAAATCCTCCGCCTTGCTGGACTATTTTCACTTTTCAATTCCGTGTCCTGCCAGTTGTGGGTAGCATTCAGGGTTGGAAAACCTGGCACGAATGGACCCAGAAGCTGTGCAATCTTGTGGGAGCCCTTGTTAGGGGGTAGGGTGGCAGTTTAAGTTTCCCCTGCTGTAATCTGCCCTGCAGAGGGCCCATAGACCCCTTTGATCTGTCCACCAGGCAGCCTGCAGCCTGGATGAGATGTTCAAGGCTCTGGGTGGTGGTTCTTTACTTTGCCCTAGCACCTGGTACTAGTGGGAGAAAGGAAGGAGCAGAAGGGCAGAACTCTTGGGCACAGGAAAAGAAACAAAGAGGGCACAGAACTTAGCTTCCTCAGATCAAACCCTCGGCTTTCAGTATTTTGCCTGCTTTTGTTGTTTTTACTTTGTGTGTGTGTGTGTGTGTGTGTTTTATTTTTAAATTCCTTTCACCTTCTGGTTTTTGTTTGGCTAGAAAAAGTGAGAGTGAACCGAAGAAAGAAATAACAGAAGTGCCCTCTTCACCAAGAAGACCCACCATCAGGACTGGTCTGGCTTATTCAAAACAAGAGCCCTCACATCATGTCAGTTATACAATTTGGGGGCAGGCAACCTAGAGCTGCAATGTTGCCTGGAGGGTGTGGCCATGACAGGGTGCCTGCAGAGGAAAGGGTCCCTAGAACAACTACTTGTTATACACATTTTATTGAAAAAAAACTTACATCAAAATATCTTGGCAAACTGTAAAAGTATACATAAGTGCAAATATACCCTCCTTTTACAATACAAGCGAAGTGTGAGTATACGAAGATCATAAAAATACTTTTAAAATACGGTGGTAGAAAAACAACCTTGTAAAAATGTTGTATTGTCACAATACTGAGAGACACTTTCTTAAGCTAGACTATCATTCTTCATTTCTTCACAATGTTCTTTGGCACCTGTATCCGAAGGGAGTGTTGGGGCTGGGGAGTGGGTGGGAGAAATCTCCTACTGGGCCAGGGAACTAGAGAAGGCTTTCTTGAAATACTGTGCTTTTAGCACTGCAAGTCTGAAAAGCACACAAGCACACACACACACACACACACACACACACACCTCCCTTTTCGGACCCTGATCAGTGAATGCAATGGTCACCCCAGAACTGAAAAGTTTTATGTCTTCCTCGTAGTATTATGTAGTAACCTCCTCTGTCTGTCCCTCTTCTGGGATATTGCCTTTCGAAAGATTTCCTCTTCCACGGGTGGGCAAATATCGGTGAGCAGGACTCTCCTGGGTATTTGTCTAAGTGATGGGTGTGCTACTTACTGCTATCCGCGTGCACAGTGTGTGAGTCCGTTGCAGTTCCTAGCTGCCCCTCTCGGAGGGGAGAGGAGGAAAGGGTAGAAGAGGGAGAGCAGCCTTCAAGGCCTCTGTCCATTCACATAACACAGGGCTTAATATCTTGGCACACGCTCTGGTGGTGATGATGATAATACGAGCCACTAGCAGAGGGGTGGAAAGAAGAAATGCCATTGAAATTGAGGACGAAATCTTTTCTGTCACACACTGGAGTGGAGTGATGTTGGTAACGGGGCAGTCCCACTGAAAGAAGTAGAAGAAAAAAATCTTTTCAGTAAAAGTCACCCAGCTGATGGTGGGGTGTATTACTTCGAAATTTTCCATTTAATTTGTGTTATTTTTGACTGAGGGTGCAAAAGCAGCTGGTGGCCTTTGGGTGTACGGCTATAAACCCGACAGGAAGCGGGGCGCATCTCAGAGCGGCCTGGAGTCCCAAGACGCCTGCCCTGCTTTGGTTTTAAATACGCCTCCTGGAGAGGCAAGTGGGAATTCATGAACACCTTGAGAGGTAATCTGTCCATGAATTCCCATTTTTCCCGTCTTGGGCTGGGGGACCTCAGTGCCAGGCCTGGATCCAGGCTGCGCTCCGCACCCGGACCCCGCCACTTCTGCCGCCGTCACCTCTGTTTCTGTACCTAGTTTTCCCATCTCAAGAACCGGGATCTGAGGCTATCCCCTTCGTCCATAGAATGACAGAGAAAAATACCTTAGAGAAGGGGCCTGAGAAGGGGGAGAGAAGAGGGAGGCCCCCTCCCAGCCACAGGCAGCAGGCATCTTTTAGGTCCCGAACCCCTTCGGCTTTGCCTTGTCCGGGACAAGTTCAGGGGACTGAGTAGTGGTGCTCTTTAGCTGCGCGCGGAGTACCCGAGGGAACTGGTGGAGCCTGGGGAAAGCTTGTATCAAGGACCTGAGCCGGTCCCTCTCAGCGCCAACCTGCGAACCACTTTTGCTTTTGCTTTCTCCACTCCGAGGAGCAGTCGGCTAGTGGGATCAGCGCATCTCTGCTGGCGTGGACAGGCTTTGCCAGTACTTCCTCTACGCACCCGGTTGGCGTGACCCGCACCAGCCGCACGCCTGTGTCGCCCCCAATGAGGTTGACTGTAAACTGAAGTAAAGCTTACGTGCGACCAGCGACGTGTAAGCCCCTAGGGCAGACACTCAATTGAGCTAGGCCGCTCAGCAGCCGGTGGCATTGCCTCTGTGGCAATGTGGGACGCTCGGGGCGTTTCAGCTCCGGAGAAGCGACCCAGGTGAACGCGCGGGACGATCCTTCGCTGCTACAGCTGCCACCAGAGCTCACGCCTCCCCGGTCCCAGGCAGCTGCCTGCTCCCTGACGAGCCGCGAGGGAGCACAGACAGCCGACTAGAGAAGCCACAGGGCTTCGTGATGACTACTCCTGCCTCTAGCGACCTGCATCGCCTCTGCCTCCCTGAGGTTGCCACCTCCGTTATCCTGTTAGAAAGTGGGGGCGCGGCGTGTGCGGGTGTGTGGCGGGACGAGGGTCGTGCTGTACATGTATGTGGCGATGTGTGTTCTGGGGGGGGGGGTTGTTCAGCTGTCCCTAGGCCACCGCTTCAGGCCTCCAGGGACCTTTCAGTTTCAATGGGGCCGCAGTCCTGTGGGTAGCACTAGGAACTAGGCCCTGCAGGGTCCCCGTGTACAACGCAGTGCTCTTTGAAAGGCCTTTGACAAGGTCTTTCCTGGAGGTGACAAAATCGGAAAAAAAAATTCTAGGAAGAGAGAATGACAAATGGCACCATGACCAAGTTAGTCTAAGCTATTGCTTTTGGGGAAGGCTGGTCATGACCGGCAGGAGAAGAGGAGATCATCAGAGGCCTGCCTTCTTGGCTGCCATATCCGCGGAGTCTGGGGGGCGTTTCATGCACAGCCTGGAGTGTGTGGGATGGGATATGAACCTAATAAAAAGGTCAGAAATGTCTTTCCTGTGCATTTGCTTGTTTGCTACTTCCTAGAAAATAGTTTCCTGACAGTTGGAAAGCCCAGCAGTCTGGGTTCAATATAAGCTAGGTCTACCCAAAGGGAAAGACAAGACAACGGGGCCAGAGCAGTAGGCCTAGAGAAGTGTGTGTGTGTGTGGGGGGGAGGCAATAGGTTCCAGTTCAGTGTGTAGGAGGGAGACTGACAGCTAGCCCGTAGGGCCCGGGGTGGGGGTGGGGGTAGTGAATAAGAGAGAGGGTCATCTGTATTGGTTACTTGTTGAAATTCCCATAAAATTGAAGGAGACTCTGTTCTCTGTGGGTTAAGTCAGCCTAAAATCCTCTCCCGTGTGGTCCTGCCTAGACTGTCTTTGTTTGGTTAACCTCTGAGACCCCCAGTTAAAAGGCTTATTTGGGAAATTTCTCCAAGATCTTTTGCCGTTTCTTGGCTTCCCTATTTCCCCAAGCTCCTGTAGCACACACGGAGTCACAAACACATGAAGGTATGCATCAGCCTGTGAATTTTCTGATGGGGCAGCAAGTGCACGTAGGAGAAGGGCACCTTTGGGCTTTGCCTTTGACAGACAGGCTCCTAGATTTCAACCTGCACCCCTGTGGGAGTCTGGGTGGGGGGAGAATTAAACAGGGTTTATCTCTATCCTGTAGATAAAGCCATACAAACACAAAATTCTCTCTTGCACTCTCTCCTCTCCTCACACAGTCCAACCACTTTTCACAAGACAATAAATTTTCATAATCTGCAACCCACACAAATAAACCAACCACATTGCAAGTGGCCTCTAGGCCCTTCTCTTGAGGGGTGGGGGGTTGTATCACACCAGGATACCTACGCCCTGATGCCCAGGACAAACTTGTGTCACTAACTTATAGATCTACAGTGTGTGTGTGTGTGTGTGTGTGTGTGTTTTCAAACATTCCTCAACACTTTGGTGCCTCCTGTCCCTAGCATCGTCCTTGGGATTCTGCTCTGCTTTCCTCTCCCCCTTCTCTACCGTCTCCTGTCATTACTTGGTCAGGTAAGAACTCTTCCTCACTCTCTCTGCTTCGTACAGAACCGGTCCCTTTCTGTCATCTTCTTTAGGAACTAATGCTGAGCAAAATGGACTTTGAAAAGAGTAAGGGGGAACTAAATGATCCAGACCCAATTCCTTGACCAAGGTCTCCAAAGGTCACATGCCTTCTTTCAGAGCTAAGTCTGACCTAATTGGGAGAAAGTCTACAGTGTCCTAATGAAGGCCAAGAAGGTTAAGACTTGGCAACACCCTTCTAAAGGCTGGGAATTCTGGGGCGCACCAACCAGCCCAGAACATCAGAGAAGGCTCTAAGATCAAATCCTCTCCTCTCACTCAGGAATAGGGAACCGAATTCCCCCAACATCCCAGCTACACAGACCCCAGCGTTGGGGACCGAGGGTACAGTAGCCCTGGCCCTCAGAGGCTCTCAGCCGGCCTTGGCGCTCTTTATTACCTGAGAGATCCTCGCGGGCGTTCTGGTGCAAGTAACTCTGCTCCAACGAGTAGGAAGACATGCTGGGGTGCAGACCAGCAGAGGCCGCGGGATTACTGCTTGGCGTCAGGGCAGGCGGCTGCTTGAGGTAAGGTGAAGCGCCAGGAGAGCTCCAATGTGCCGCTGGGCTAGTATAGGGCGAGTGACACTCGATGGCGCTTGCCATGGCCGGGGATGAGGGCACAGGGCTGCTGCTGCTGTCCGGCCCATAGTCACCGCCGCCACCGCCGCCACCCGCTGCCGCACCGACGCCTGCAGGACCTGCGGGCACCGGGCAGCTGGCCATATAGGTAGAGCCCGGGTTGGGCGACATATGGGGGACGTGGTGGTGGTGGAGGTGGTGGGGATGCCCGTGGCCCGGAGCACCCGCCCCTGCATCATAGCCTGCGGGCATCATGTCGAGGCCACCATAGCCTCCCTGGCCATGGCAACCCAGAGGCGCAGACGGGGGCGCTTGGAAGTCGAAGCCCTGGGGCAGCAGCGAGGCCCCGAAGCCCAAGCCGCTCACCACACGATGGTACATGGGTTTGAGAGCCTGGCACTTCCGCCTGAAGCCTCGCGGCCGCCGGCGGAACGAACCCTCCTCGAACATGAACTCGCTGGCCGGGTCGATGGTCCAGTAGTGGCCCTTGCCCGGTCGCCCGAGGCCCTTGGGCAGCTTGATGAAGCACTCGTTGAGCGAGAGGTTGTGGCGCACAGAGTTCTTCCAGCCCTGGTAGGCGCCACGGAAAAAGGGGAAGCGCGCCTGCAGGAACTGGTAGATCTCGCTGAGCGTCAGGCGCTTGCTGGGCGAGCTCTGGATGGCCATGACGATGAGCGCGATGTACGAGTAAGGAGGCTTCTCCGGCCGCCGCAGCCCCGAGGTCGCCTTCTTGGTGCCCCCACTCCCGGCGCTCGCGCCGCCGCTCGCCGCACTCTTGCAAGCACCCGCCGAGACGCTGACCGAGTTGGAAGAGGACGAGGCACAGGAGGCAGAGGATGACGACGACGACGACGACGAGGTGGACTCCAGGGTGGCGGCGGGTGGCGGGCTCATCAAGGCGGCCTGGAGCGCGCCGGGCGCCGGGCTGCACGCGCGGCGGAGTGGGGCAGGCGGCGGGCGCGGCGGGGGTGGCGGAGGCCCGCCCTCGGTGCTCATCTGGGAGCCGGGAGCGAGGCCGGGCCTGGGGGGCGGACCCGGGACGGGGATCGGCGGCGCCGGAGCCCGGTCGGTCCACAAACCGGGCGAGTGCCCTACTGCGCCGGCCGCGCTGCAGCCGGGGCCACTGCGGGCCAGCGCTTCGGCGTCGCCTCCCTCAGCTCCTCTGGGGCTTCGGGCGGCGGCGGCGGCGGGTCGGAGGCAACGCCCCGCGCATCCCTCTTCCGAGCCTCCGGCCCGCGCCTTGCGCAACCGTCTCCTAAGCCACCGAGGAGACGCTGCCCGGGGCCGGACAACTTGCGCCCTAGAGCCAAGACCTCAGCCGGGACCCCGGGGACTAGCCCGTCGTCTTCTTTCAGGAGTGCTCCTCTCTCTGTCTCTTGGACTTCCTCCCTGGCGCGCCCTCCCCGCGGCCGCTTCGCTCCCTCCCTCCGTCGCTCCCTCCCTCCACCCCTCCCCGCCCTGCCCCCTTCTCGCTCCGCACCGCCCGCCCCGGGGAGGGCGCACTGGGCTCGCGTCACTCCTCCCCCTCTGGACCTGGCTGCAGGCTCCTGCTCTTATCGCCTCCCGGACTCTCCGGGGTCCTGCTCTCACTACTAATTCCTCTCAGCCTCTTTGCCTTTCCCGGTCTGCCCTATTCAAAACCAAGGCTACAGATCCTCCTGCATTCTGCTGGGAGAACTCCCAACCTTGGCAAGACTCGACTACCCCTAACTTTGGCAATCCATTCTCTGTCCCTTCCAGCAGCCCGTTTTCTATCCCAGAAGTGCCCCCAACCCCGCGATCCGTGAGTGGACACACCCTACCCCTCCTCCACCCACGCCCGGCCCATGTGGGGGCTGAGTCTTGGGGAGACTGTGCCCTGGAAGAGCTTCCTTAGCCACGGTCCCCAGTGCACGAACTGACACCATCTGTCAACTTCATTTAGACAGTGCCGCCCTCAGCCACACGCCAGGGTGCCAGACGTCCCAAGGTAACGTGCCAATCCCGGGTCTCTCTCTCTTTCTCTCTCTCTCTCTTTCTCTCTGGCTGGACATGCAGGCTTCTGAGAGGTCACAGCAGAGGGCAAGCGCTGTGCGCCCTTGAGCTGTGCCCGGGGGCAGTTATAAACATATTTTCAGTTGAACATTGGGGTTTGGGTGAAGAAACCTGGGCCAGCTCTGAGATACTCAGGACTCTTGAGTTGAGTGGATTCGGTTTTTTGTTTCCACCTTCCACTGACTTGTCATTTCCACTTCATGCTGAGAGAGAGAGAGAGAGAGAGAGAGAGAGAGAGAGAGAGAGAGAGAG